CGGCCCGCCGAGGCCTTCGCGCTTCCCTGCTTGTGCTCCGCCAGCACCGTCTCAGGGAAGCGGCCTCCTCGCAGGAGGTCCGTGCGTGCCGAGGCAGAGGCACAACGCCGAGTACGGGCGCCGTGAGGCACCGCGGCGGTGGCACGCGTGTCTGCGTGGGTCCCTCTGCCTGGGGCTACAGGCCGGGCGGGCATGCCGTGAGGTATCGCTGCCGGGGAAGAAACGCCAAACATTTCTCTTACTAAGAAATATCTCAGAAGGTTCCATCTGTTTTCTGAACGTTATTGCCATCAGAGAAAAAAGCTCTATCCAAGTAATGTTAGCCACATTGTTTCTAATAACTACAAAATTAAATACAAACAGAACGTAATACTGATATGAAACTTGTTGTTTTATTAGTATGGCAACTTTATAGATGATTTACGGCTCTATGTGAGAGGAGGAACTGGTGGAATGGGATATCCTCGTCTGGGTGGGGAAGGAGGGAGAGGTGGCGATGTCTGGCTGGTTGCCCGAGAAAGAACTAGCTTAAAGAGCATAAAGGACAGATATCCCCAGAAGCGATTTGTAGCTGGAACAGGAGCCAACAGCAGGTAAGGGTCTGTTTGATGAAAGTTGTTACGTACATCTTTTCCAGAAAGCAAAATGTCAGCTTAAGTTACTGAGCCTGGTTTAATTTCTCCCAGTGTTAGAGCACTAAAAGGTGAAAAAGGAAAAGATTGTGAAGTTCATGTGCCTCTGGGAATTTCAGTTCTTTGTGATGATGGCAAGCAGATTGGTAAGAACTTTTGTTTTGTTTTAATGTATCTAGTAGATACTGTGGTATTTATCGATAGCATCTAGCAGACTTCTAACACTAGGATGTTTTAAGGTTGTACATCTCCCAAGATATGTGTGTGTTTTCCTTTGTTTGGACAAAGACTTGACAAAAAATACACTGTAGAAATTGTTGGAAAAGCAAGCACCCCTTCCAGAAATAAGCAGTAGTCAGTTTGTATCACTATATGCAGCAGAAAGAAAATTGCCCTTGCAAACAAATGTTAAAGGCTGGAAGCCATACTGATCGTCCACAGAATCGTTAATGACCTTACATAAATTATGTTTCCATAGACTCAGGTAATTGTCCCTATAACTCACTGAATTATGGCATTGCTTAAAAGATAAAGGTATTTTCCAAGTGTCAACAATTCAAGTTATCTAAAATACGTATCTGTTTTTTACTCTTTTAATAAAGAGTGGTACTTGGTAGTAACCAGGAAGATCTCTTTCAACACAGTGCTTTTGGAATAGCTCTCAATGGTTCCTTTGCAGTTTCTCAGAGTTTTTCTTCTCATACTGTTCAGAGTTCAAACTAAAATCACAAATTACTCTGATTTGGATTTTTAACAAAATTGGATGTATGGCAAGAACTGTTTATGGTATAGGCATGTCAATGTCTAAAGGTATCCTTGAATTATATACTCAAATGTTGCTTTTTATTATTACTATTCTAACATTCTAACCCTAAGGGAGATATTATAGCCTGCATCTTAATGAAAAAATATGGAACATCTGAAGATTTTGCTGTAGCCACATCTCTATCAATGCAGAAGTCTCCTTGCATTCTTGAATTCAAGTATTGGAGGCTTCAGAACTACTGTCTTGGCTGTACCTTACCTGCCTGTACTTAGCACTTATCTTAAAGTGACTAACTATATGGCAGAAGAGAATACTGGAGTGTGATTGCTCTCATTTGTTTCCAAAGAGGGAAAAATACCGTGACCCTGAGTGCACAGCTCTTGTGAGAGCTGAAGATAGACTTCATTGAAGATAGATTTAAGTGGAGAATCACAGCTGAACTACTGCAGGGAATTGTGCATTTTCACTAGTGAATTTATTTTCAGGAGAGCTTAATGCAGCAGGAGAGAGATTCTTAGCAGCTCGTGGAGGTCTTGGAGGCTCTTTGGCCACAAACTTCATGCCTTGCAAAGGTCAGAAGCGAATTGTTCGTCTTGATTTGAAACTTATAGCAGATGTTGGCTTAGTTGGGTAAGTACTGTAGTTTGAGAACTGACACTAGAAAACAGTAAATCTCAAATGAGATTTCAAATAAATTTGAGAGTTTGACAGATGAGCATTACTATACATTTGAATTGCCACTTAAATTACTTGTGGTTTGCAAAAACCAGAGTTTAAACCTATTAAAATTAATTTTAAAATTTGGAAGGTATTGGTTATGCTTTTGTGAGTGAAGGGCTTCATGAATCAGGGTAATATGTAATTATTAATGTAATTGAATGTAGCAATTTCAGTGATTATCAAAATACTATTAGCTAATATTTATGAAATAAGTAGGAGGTGCAAAACAGAGCCAAGAACACCTATCCATATTGCATCTTTGACTTTATGGTATTGGCATAAGTCGATCCTTTCAGTAGTAGTTGTAAAGTGAGTTTCAAAGGCTATGTAGCCTATTCTCCTAAATAAATAGCTTGGAATATTGGAAGGAAGTAATTACAAACTAGAATAGTAGGACTTGCATTTCAATGTTGCTGCTTTATAGCAATGCAGATAAAGGTATTTTTATTTGGAGAAATCTTTCAGCAAACTACAGTTGTAAAAGTATTGGTCTACTCAGCATCTACTACCCCACCCTGCCCTGTCCCGTGGTCCTTATTAATAAAAACCATAGGAAATGTAAAATGACAAGGAGTTTGAGGTGGAAATCGTCTACTTGATATACATTGTTACAGAATGGAAACTTGAAGACAGCATGGTTTTCTACCTACATTTTTCTTTTTTTGCTTGTTAGAAATAATTCTGTTAATACCAGATTTATCTAAAGTTATGTAATTTTCAAGTGGTCTTCAGTAACCACACGATAGAGAGTTTTTTCTTGTTTTAGAGTGTGTGAAAATGTAGGAGTTTTATGAGACCAGTGCTGCTTTAATCTTGCATTTTGGTTTGTACTTTAGCTGACAGTTTCCCTTTAAAATGGACAAAAAGAATCATTATCAGTTAATTAGAGGTGCATATTATTTCCTTGTTGAGAGTATGAATCAGCCTCTGATAGTTTGTGGTTGTACTTTGATCTCTGTGTGTTTGTTATTTTTACTTCAGTAGATTTGCAAGTGGTTTGCTATTAGAACAGGTAAAAAAACATACAGACTTGAGAAAGGCATATCAAGTTTGGGTACAGGTTGTGATGTATAGTGTAGGCTGCAATTTAAACTTCAAAGAACATGTTGTACCTCAGTGGAAACAAAATACTCTCGCTTGAGGAGATGACCAGAGTAACCTTCCAGAATGTCTTTCAGGCACCTTTCAACACCAGAGCACATTAAAACTACACTCAGTAGTTTTCCTGTTACAAGAGTCATTGTGTCTCTTTCTTTTTTAAGAAAGCCCTATATACAACCCCTTCATAAAGCCCCTTAATGTAATACTAGTCTTGTTTTTATTAGCTCATGTTCTTATTAGTTGTCCCTGTTAACAGGTCATGATTCTGCATTTATTCAAGTGGAGAGTATATGGGTTTTGGTGGGACATGCCTTTGTGTCTGTTCAGTTGCCTGTAGACACAGTTTTCTTTGATCTCTGTTGCACTGAAGCATTGTGCTGAATAACTCACTGTGAATTTGACTGGCACACAAGTCTTGTGTCATCTTCCATATGGAGCAGGTGCTATGAATAAGAACCATAGTCTATCTTTTGATATCAGCATTGGCTTCAAGTCTGACATGGATCAAGGCTATTGTGTCTTTTACAGCTCAGATTAATCTTTAAAATGAGCATATGTTATAACTCCAGTTGTAACTTAGTTTTCACTTTCAATGGGTAGATGTATTTTGTGAAGAAGCTTTTGTAAAAGCTGCTGTATCCCTTAAGAAACATTTTTGTTGTAGTACGCAGGTATAGCTATCTCTTCTAAAGGGAAAAGGTTACAACAGTAAGGTCTGCGCAGATCAGATCCTAGGGCTTCACTGGTATTCTTTTTGGTTTACTTGGTAACAAAGCAGGTTAGTCCTCATTTCAGGGTCCCTGGTACAACTTTGTTGCCATAAAAACTTTGTATGTATGTGTCTATATACACAAAGTCTCTCTCTTGCTTACAGAGTTTACATATGCTTTGCTAAATTAGCTCAACTGTAGCATAGATATCATTGGTACTTAAAATGTAGACTTCATTAACCATGATTTGTATACCAAAAGACTGTAAATCCAACTGTTAGGATGCATTTGCATTACAGATGTTTAGAATGTAAACGTAATTTACAAAATTTGCTGTAGCATGTGAACACTGAATTCAAGTAGACCTGGATGCTTATGCTGTATTTCTGTCTGAGTGACTCTGAAAGATTTCCCTTAAATCTATTGCAAGTGTATTTACATACCTCTCCTGCCTGCATTCTTGGGAAGCATTGTTGGATTTAGAAAAATTATCCAGATTTGATTTTGAAAAAAAATCATAATGATTTGGGGTTTGTTGGTTTTGGTTTTGTTGTTTTTTTTAAAAGTCTGAGTAAATGATTCTGCAAAAATTAGTTGATAGCATTGAGTTTGACTAAGGTAATATAGTGTATTTGGTAATAAAATATACAGGAATCACATACGTGTTTACTCAATGCATAAATCCTGGCTTTCATTCTAGGTTTCCAAATGCAGGAAAATCATCCTTGTTAAGCAAGATTTCTCATGCCAAACCTGAGATTGCAAGTTATGCATGTAAGTTCATACTCTTATTTTTAGAGCAGTAAGATTTCATGAGAGCAAGAAGTCTTTTCTCTGGCTTGGTTTGCAGATTTATAGTAAAGAACAGGAGATAACCATGTTGCCTAAGGACATTACACAGATTTTTAATTATAAGAAATATTTCAAAGAAAGACCTGCTGTTTCAATGTCCAGTTCTTTTAACCACCTCAGTTTTTCATGTGTACACCCTCATAGTGCTTCAACCTGTTGATGCAGGGTCTATTTAACATTTACTTTAATCGCAGCCCATTTTATTGCATCTGAGACTCTCCATGGTGTGTAATATCCTCAGTCTACTGAATATGTACCATCAAGTTCCTTTGCATGAACATCTTGTATGCTTTGGAAATAGCTACCACCTGTTCTTGCAACAAAGTAAGATTTTGACTTTGAGTCTGTCCACTGAAAAATGGACAGAAAATATTTATTATATTTCTGTCGGTAAATTAGGATTAGCTGTCTGATAATTCTTTAATTAAAAAGCAAGAATACAAGTACTGATAATTCCTACTAACCTTTTTGCACCACTCCTGATTCTCTGTAGCCTTTTTATATTTTTCCTCAGTTTGAAGAGTCCTGTCTCACTTTACCTTTCGTTATTTTTCCCCGTTTGGAAGCTATTCCAGTATGGATAATCATTTTTGTGTCTGAGGCTTCTCTAGCTCCTCTGTTCCCTTTTTGGGATGATGGGAACAGAACTGCAGACAGTGCCAAGATTTGGTGAACCACTGCTTTTTTGAGTGGTCTGATTTTGTTCTCTCCTGTTTTGCTTTTTCTTATTCCTTTTCCAGTAATTCTTAACATCCCATTTGCCTTATTTTTTTCAAATGTGAAGTGAGGAAGTCCTGCAACATTTAAATGTTTTGTAACATTAACATTTTTTAAAATGTTTAAAACAGTACTTATAAAACATAGTTACAACAATACAGCCTGAACTAGGAAAGATCATGTATGCGGATTATAAGCAGGTTGGTATGAAAGTTCATTCATTGTTTGTTAAAATTGTGTATAATGATTACTTATGTTGCTTAACATAATTTCAGAAAGAAAAAGGAAACTTGTTAATTTTTTCATATGTGTATCTATAATGTATACATATAAAATGCAATTACATGGACTTAATGAGAGTTGTGGAGAAAGTGCTGTTTTTGTGAATTAATAAGAAAGTTTTACAGCCAAATGCAGTAATATGATGTTGAGCTGATTTCAAGTTGCTTTAATAAATGGCTTCTCATTTTTCCTTGTTTCCTTTCTGTGGTTCTAATCCTGCTTTATAACGTTAGAGTAGCGAACTTGTGTATGGAATTGAGATTGCTGTGTCCTAGTATACTCTTATGTTTAGGACTTGAAAAAATCATTGTTTCGGAAACTAGCCTGTTATTTTTATTTAGAAGAGGCAAATTTTCTGCAAGTTGGTTATGCAGAGAGCTCTGGAATGATGAGTCATTTTCAGAATGGATTTTAAACAGTGGCAAATTTGTCCAATAGCTGCAGATCGGCAGTAGTGAATGACAGGGAATTTAGTGAATATAACCCGGTTACTGTAACTTACTGTTCTGGCTTTCTAGGTTGGCTGCTTTAACTTCCTTTTGTGGTTTGATTTGGGTTTTGTGTTTTGTTGTGTTTTGTTTGGTTGGGTTTTTAAAATAAAACACTAAAATAGTATGAAGTGATAGTGATTGCCTGAACAGGCAGGATAGTGTACTACCAGAGAGGTGAGGTACCTAGGTCCAGGCCCTTTTGTGGTATGCTGTAGCTCTGGAAGACTGGTGGAGCTACTGCCCTACCACCGTAGTTTTGGTGAACCCAATTCCACCCAACTACTTCAAGTTGTCAGGTAATTGTGTGATGCCTGGAATCCTTTCTACAGTATCCACTGGAGAGAAAACCAATGCTAAATGAGCTCTTACTAATAGATTTTTGGACCCGAAGTTGCGTAAGGTTACAGCAAACGTTTTGATTCCTGAAGCTTTAATCTTCTTTGATGTGCTTTTATTTTGTTTTTGAAGTGTATGATACATGCAGTACTGGACTCATCACTTCCAAGGTAAAAGGCGAATGCATAAAAGCGTTTCAGATAAGTAAACCAGAAAAGCATACTTCTCAGATGTGAAAAAATAGAAAACTCCTCTTTCCACTTCCAGCAGCAATGATCTTAGGGGCATTCAGTAGCTGATGGTTGAAACTGTCATTTCACAACCTTTAACAAAACTGTATTAAAAGAAGTAAGTCTAGGTTGTCAGGTTCCCTGTAGAGATGCACACATCTAAGGGAAATGTTTTGTATATTCATTTTGTCTGCTAGTTTAGGGTAACTTATCTAGAAAGCTGTGCTGCAAATAACAGGATTGTTTATAGCCTTTTAAAAAAAGCTAACTACTTGCCATGATTCGGGACCTCTTGCACTTACTGGTGTATCTTTCCCCAGCAGGAGAACTACTTGCACTCCTGGCTTTTCTGCCCTCTGTTTCATTTCATAGCCAATGACCCTTATTGTTGGCTGTTTCTGCAGTTCATGGTTTTTATACTACAGTGTTGGGTACTGTGTAAGAACTACACAGACAGACTATCTCTCTTCTAAAATTAAGGGAACTAGTGATTGTTATCACAAGGAACATCTGTGAGTAACAGGAAGCACTTCAGCTCTCAGTATTGCAACTGCTGAAAGCAAAACAACGTAAGCAATTAAGAGCAATAATTGAGGTGACTGTCTTGTATCACTCAAGGGGGAATGGCTCTTTATAGCTTTTTTTTCTCGCAGAACATTGGCATTTTTAAGGAAATAAGTAGCAATTTGCTTATTTTATCTTAGTACATTATAAAGAATCATAGAATCATTTAGATTGGAAATTACCTTTAAGATCATCAAATCCAACCGTAAACCTAGTACAGCCAAGTCCACCAGTAAACCATGTCCCCAAGTGCCACATCTACACATCTTTTAAATACCACCAGGGATGGTGACTTCAACACTTCCCTAGGCAGCCTGTTCCAATGCT